GGAGAAGAGGGGCCCTTGCCACACTACAAAGAGATCACTCTACAATCAGGTAGAAAGCGAACTTGGTGGGGAAAAGCGCACACGATGCTTGTTATATAGTTACCAAAAGACGTTAGTAGGTGAATATTGTCATTCCCTAGCCAGAATTCTGTCAGGTAGCTGCCAAAACCTTTCTTGTATGAATTCCAGTCTCGGAAAAAGTCCACTGAACCATCCACCCGCCTCTGGAAAACCTGTGGAGACATGAAAAGGATGCACTTCAGTTTCTTTCCTGACCAAAGCCAAGCTACAAAGCAGAATTAAAAGCATCAACAAGCACTATTCAACTAGTCACATTTCTACTCTGCCTTGCGGGATATACGTGAAAGCTCAAATTGGTATTTATTTACTAGTTTTATTTTCATTTTTGTTTTGAGAACTGATAGTAGATAGAGACTGTAATAGATTCATGGATGTTAAAGTCAATACACAGGACACAGAATCTCGCCCAGTACTTTCTGCATCGACTCCATCAATACAAACGCAAAGCAATGAACAAATAAAAGGTCACTTCTTCTATACGGGAAAGCTAAGGAAAAGCGAAAAGTGTATGACACGAGACAGCAGACAAAAATGATCAATAAGGAGCTTGTCCCCAGCCACGCTCCAGATGGGCAAGTGAAACCTTCTGAGCAGCTGGTGCCTGAACAGCAAAAAGGGAAATCCTCCCACTGCTGTGTTGATAGTTTTAACAGGGAAATTGAAAGAATAAAATGCTAGGAAGAGCTGGTCAGAAAATACAGTTCCACTGAAACTGAAATGCTTCAGAAAATCATAGTGGGAGCACCAAAATGTGGTATTATATAATATAAACAAAAATCAAAACCCCAATGACACATTTGTGCTGATATTATCTCAATGAAATGATTTTGATTGAGCCAAAATTTTAAAAATTAGACTTTTCTTTTGGGGAATTTCCAAATGTTCAGGTTGCATTGGGAAATAAACCAAATTCTGAAATAGTGAAAGCCTTGTGAAACAGAATTCCTCTGAATTGCACATCATATTTTCTCTCTTTTTTCCCTTTCAACCCATTTAACGTGACGAGCTATGGGATTTTCCTTTTGCAGTACTATAGGTATTGGATACAAAGTAACCAGAATCTGTCAGATCTCACCCCCTTAGCCCTATCAGCCCCTCACCTTTTTCCTCAACTTGTGCACCTCCTCTTCCCCCAGGTTCTCAGGGGACAGAACTAAACCAGCTTCCAGTTCAGCTCCAATTTTATCTTAAACACATCAACAAGTTGGGGAATTTCTGTCTGAAGTCCTGCTCCTAGAGAACATGCATCGCTGGGACAGCCGAAAGAAATAGATTTTCATTTTCCACACGGGTTACAAAGGGTTGATGACCTTTCTAGGAACTGACTTGTTTGAGTAAACCCTTGGCTTCATCCTACTCCCTGTGGAATCCATCAGCAATTTGCATTGGCTTTGTTCTCACTTACTATCCATCCACCTCCGTCTGTGTCCATGTCACACAGCACGGTCAGGGCGTTACAGTCGTGGGGGTAGATGGTGTACCAGCCGCTCATGATGTTCCCTCTGGCTAGCAACTCCTTGCAGTTCTTTGCTCCTGGATAGGAAAGTAATTTAATGTTATCAATTAATTTTGCTGCAATGGATAATTACAGAAGCAGCGCGGATCCCTTTACAAGGAGCTAGGAATTTCAAATAGTTGTCTGGTGAGTTTCCAAGTTCTAGAGTACAGGATTTCTTTTTAGCCAACTTTCCTGAGTCGCGAGTACAATTTGAAAAGACAGGAGCAAGAGAGTGCATTCCCGATGAAAGTTCAGCAAGAGTGTGCATTCTCCTTCAGATTTCACATGGTATGGGACACAAGGATACACAGGGGCTGTTAGTCATTAGCCCATCTTACAAGATTACCTGCCGTGTATTACAATCAGTAGTTTCTGGTATAACCGAACCTCATGTAAATGCTAATGTAGCAGAACCAGGTGACAATTACAGTACTTGCTACAGAAATCAAAATGAATTGCAAGCACCTCCAACTGTCTCTCTACACTGTGAACTGAGCTCCCGGGCCTTTGAATAGGAAGAGTTGACAGCTCATGTCATGTGATTCTAGCAAACACTCACCTGTCTCACAGTGTACATCCTCCAGCTCCTTCTCGGCTGTTCAGGAAGGAAAGCACAAGGGAGAGAGCTTGAAACCAGGAAAAAAACAATATGTTCCCTAAACTCCTGCTCTAGCCACAAGGGGTGTAGGTATCATGAGTTAAGAGGCAGTAAAGCATCGTCACACATCTCTGATCCCCGCTACTAGTAAATGGAGACAAATCCTTTCCCAGAAAAAAATCAGTTTCCTAAATTCAGTCCAAACACAGATTTTATTTCCACAAGCCCACCCATAAAATAACATTCAGTCGCACCCTCCCTAACGTATTTCACAAGCTGGGGAACATTAAGGCCATTGCAGAATGTGCAATCCATTTTATCCCTCTGCACTAATCAGAAGGTAACCCAAAAGAAGCACAATTTTACACACTGGCCATGATCTGAGCCTCCCCAAACATTCAGGGGAGATCAATTCTGGATCCAAATTCCAATGCAAATGGAACAAAATGCAGGACAATGTAGCACTTTAAAGACTAACAAGATGGTTTATTAGATGATGAGCTTTCGTGGGCCAGACCCACTTCCTCAGATCAAATAGTGGAAGAAAATAGTCACAACCATATAAACCAAAGGATACAATTTAAAAGAATGAACACATGTGAAAAGGACAAATCATATTTCAGAACAGGAAGGGGATGCGGGGGAAGGAAGGAAGGTAAGTGTCTGTGAATTGATGATATTAGAGGTGGGGAGAGTGGGATGTTTGTGAGTTAATAGTATTAGAGGTGATAATTGGGGAAGCTATCTTGGTAATGGGTAAGACTCATGGTCATCCCTAATGGCGGAAGTCAAGTTTTCTCTCTCTTGCATAGCTCATCAGCTACAAGGTCATTAGGGACAGCTTTCTGTGCAAACAAATTTCACTCTGAAAAATTGCAGTGAGGTTCGAGTGTAATGCTTTGAAAATGAAATCAAATGATACTCTTGCCATAAACAGAGTAGCTGTTCTTACTTATCGTTCCAGGCACTCCAATGTCTCCTTTGTCTCCTAAAAACACACAGGAACAAATCATTACGTAGCCACGCTGAGGGGCTCATCCCAGCATTTGTTACCAATTCCAATGCGGTATCAGACTCCTTTTTTCCTCACTGACTTCCTCTGGTTTGAACGGGTACAAATGAGAGGTGAATGGGGGCAACGGTGGATGTTGGGGTTGGATTTACTTTTGAAGTGAAGGCTGGAATTTTCAAAGGAGACCAAAACAATGAGAAGATAAGAACGGCCGTACTGGGTCAGACCAACGGTCCATGTAGCCCAGTGTCCTGTCTTCTGACAGTGGCCAAGGCCAGATGTCCCAAAGGGAGTGAACAGAACCGGGAATCATCAAGTGATCCCTCTCCTGTCACCATTACCAGCCTCTGACAAACAGAGGCGAGGGAAACGATTCCTACCTATCCTGGCTGAGTCATTGATGGATCTAACCTCCATGAATGTATCTAGTTCTTTTTTGAACCCTGTTAAAGTCCTGGCCCTCACAACTGATTCCAGCGAGGAGTTCCACAGCTTGACTCTGCATTGTGTGAAGTAGTACTTCCTTTGGTTTGTTTTAAGCCTGCTACCTAGTAATTTCATTTGATGACCCCATGTTCTTATATTACAGGAACAAGTAAATAACTTTTCCTTATTCTCTTTCTCCACATCAGTCATGATGTTATAGACCTCGTCACGCACCCCTCCCCCCAGTGCACTCTTTTCCATGCTGAAAAGTCCAGTCTTTTTAAGCTCTCTTCATATGGCACCCGTTACAACCCCCTACTCGTTTTGGTTGCCTTTTTTGAACCTTTTCCATTGCCAAGAGATGTTTTTGAGATGAGGCAACCACACAGTAAGTGCACTGACTCTGAGACCCATTGGGTGAAGAGCTCTTTGGAAAATCTCTTGCCATGTCACAACTGCTTCTCTACAGACTCCATCTCTAGCACTATGGAGGAGAACAACAAACAACACACAACACTCAAGGAGTGGGATAGCTCAGTGGTTTGCACATTAGCCTCCTAAACCCAGGGCTGTGAGTTCAATCCTTGAGAGGGGCCATTTAGGGATCTAGGGGAAATTGGTCAGGGATGATACTTGGTCCTACTGGGAGGGGAAGAGACTGGACTTGATGACCTCTCAAGGTCCCTTCCAGCTCTATAAGATTGTATATCTCCATATATTAAACACAGGTGGGTAACTCAGCAAGTAAGAATTATTAAAGGACTCTTACCTTTCAGACCAACACCACCAATGTCCCCCTTCAATCCTAGTAAAAAAGTGAGCAAAGATGTAGCAATTCCAGTGAGAGCTCAGGTTTGAGTGGCCTAAGAACTAGGTGACTACTGGAATCACAGAGCAGTGAATTTGTTTGTGAAAAATGACTCCCAGTGTAACTAGTGTTCACGCAATGGACTCTATTTGCTATCCATGAATATTTAGATCACTGCTAGTATTGACTAAACTACTTACTAGGCCTGCAGGAATTCACATCAGAAGTTCTTCAGTCCTGACTCTCACATGAAAAGATTTCACCCAGCTGTTCTGGGGGTGGAAACTATGGTTTGTGATTCCTCTCCATGAATTACTGATGCCTGTAGCAAGCATTTTACAAATCAGCCAGTGGCTGGGAATACTCTGGTGAACACTAGGGATAACAGATGCATTCTTAGCCAATCAGAAATGGTTTGGGAGAGAGTCCCAAACCAAAGAGAGGCCGACATTTAATTCAGTGCTTGCTCTATATCAAGAGAGAGAGAGATGGGGGAGAGGGAGAATTAAATGTTTCATCAAAGGAAAATTCAAATATGAAAAATTACTTGATGCTAGTTAAACAAATGTACTTAGCCTTTTGATTACTTTACCTCTCTCTCCAGGTGGTCCCATCTTCCCAGGGCTCCCCTGAGATCCCTTTTCTCCTACAAACACCAGAAATAATTTCAATATTTTATAAATATTCAAACAGAAGAACTCAGAACGCATTGAAGCTCCCAGTTCTACCCTTGCTGACTGAATCCTCAGGTAAGGCAAAAGGCCAAAGCTAGCAGGCCAAGCCAGTTTTCCGTCTGGAGAGTATCTCACAAAAGAACATGTCAATTCCGTGCAGGATAAGGTTTGCACCTGCGCGGTCCCGCACTGAGTCTCACGCAGTGCCGAGGAGCTCACCTCTCATTCCTGTAGCGCCGGGTTCTCCTTTGGGACCTGCGGCACCGGCAGCTCCAGGACATCCTTGCAGAATCGCGAGCTTCTCATTACCACCAAGACCCACCACTTTAACCTCTGGAGACAATACAACGATAAAATATAAGAGCCACGGGAGACAGAGAAAATCGATGTAAGCAATGGAAGCATCCGTCCCTTTGTCTTCAGCTGGCTCAGGAAGAAAGACAACTGGAGATGCCTGAAGTATGCACAGCTTTTAGGGCCAAGCACTGTTCATCATAAGCTTTAGTGCATTAGAACTAGCTGTGCATTTTCTTTTCATTCTAATTTTTGTAACTTACTTTCATCTCTCTATTTTCATTTGCAACTACTTAAATTCTACTGTTTGTACTTAGCAAAGACACTTTTGTTCACAATCCAACCCTGTGTAAATAATTGTTAATTGGGGGGGAGGGGTCAATGTCCATATCCTCCTTTCATTATACACGGGACTTACCTAAATGAACTTTCATTGTGTAAAACTTTCACATACAGAAAGACAGATTTATTTGGAAACAATGAATACTCCTGCAGCACCTTAGGGACTAAATGAGGATACTCCAATTGATCAGTTTTTCCTTCTCTTCCCCCCCCCATCCCCTCGCTTTCTCTGTTATTTCTTTGTGCCCTGGACTCCATACTCCAGTCATCTGAAGAAGTGGGTTTGTGCCTACAAAAGCTCATGATCCCAGCTACGTGTTTTGTTAGTCTCTAAGGCTATATCTAGACTACACTGGGGTTTTTTCAGAAAAAGCTATGCAAAATGTGCTCCGTATTTTGCATAGCTTTTTCCGATTCTTTTGTCACAAGAGGCTTTTCCAACATTTGGCCCATCTAGACTGGGCCAAATGTTGGAAAAAACCCTCTTTCGGAAGCCTCCTTATTCCTCATGGAACAAGGAATACAGGGGCTTCTGTATTCAAAAAAAGCGGAAGAGCAAATGCATTCCTTGGATGTGAAATAGTTCTTCCGGGATACCTCCAGTATCCCAGAAAAACTGTGTAGTCTAGTCATTCCCTACGATGCTGCAAGACTATTAGTTGTTTTTTAAGTTTTTTCAGTTACAGACTAACATGGCTCCCCCTCTAAGGCTTTATTTGGGGGGGGTTGATCCCTTTTGGGGATTGGTTTCCTGAGTGTCGTGCTCCTGGAACTGCATTCAGCTGTTACCCCAGCTCTATGTCTTGTCTGGGGAAGACCAGAAAATCTGGCCCACCAGGACAGGGTGGAGGGGAGCTCCAGAGAGCAAGAAGGCGAGTGTCGGTGGCCTGACACCCAGGCGGTCTTTTGGGACCACACCCCGTCACACATGTCCTGTCATTCCTCAACCCCAAATTTGCAGCACTAACTCTGAACACAGCATAGAGCTTCTGAGATGTCTATTGGTTTCAGTTACAATTATTTAAAAGTTGGTCCTTAGGGAAAAGTTTAAAAAAAAAAAAACCTTTGGTCCCTCTAGCAAAGATGAGGAAGGGGATGTGGGACTGGGATGTTCACGACACCTGCACGGACTAAAGAAGAGTTCATCCTTAATTACACAGATTATATCCTAGTCAAACATGGCACATTTTTCACACAGTACTGTGTTACTAAGACACTCTGTTGTGTGAATAACAGGTTTCAAAACAAGGCTGCAGGAAAGGAAGAGGCAAAGGATCAGCTCTTCAGATCGTGTAAACTGGCAAACTGACTTCAATGCAGCTTTGATAATTTACACCAGAACATTTAGCCAAAACGGTGAAAACTGTTGTGATACATTTGCAACAATATTAAAATTACAAGCTGTCAGTAAATTCTATGTGTTTCTAACTCTCTGGCTGTGTCTAGACTGGCCAGTTTTTCTGGAAAATCAGCCGCTTTTCTGGAAAAACTTGCCAGCTGTCTACACTGGCCGCTTGAATTTCCGCAAAAGCGCTGACTTCCTGCTGTAAGAAATCAGTGCTTCTTGCGGAAATACTATTCTGCTCCCGTTCGGGCAAAAGTCCCTTTTGCACAAAGCTTTTGCACAAAAGGGCCAGTGTAGACAGCTCAGATTTGTTTTCCGCAAAAAAGCCCGATAGTGAAAATGGCGATCGGGGCTTTTTTGCAGAAAAGCGCATCTAGATTGGCACGGACGCTTTTCCGCAAAAAGTGCTTTTGCGCAAAAGCATCCGTGCCAATCTAGACGCTCTGTTCCGAAAATGCTTTTAACGGAAAATTTTTCCGTTAAAAGCATTTCCGGAATATCATGCCAATCTAGACGCAGCTTGTGTGTGTGTGTGTGTGTGTGTGTGTGTGTGTGTGTGTGTGTGTGTGTTGATATAACTGCAGAGACGGTTACTATTACAAAGCCATCCAGGACATCACTTATGCAAATACTGAAAGCAGAGAAATGAACAGAAAAGACATCAATCTCCTTCAAGCAGAAATGTCTAACATTGCAACACATAAGAAATGTTATGCATGAGAAGCATGTTTTGCATCTGGGATTCTGCTTGGAGACTGTTTGCTGAGAGCTTTACTGTTCATTTCCCTGTTTTCAATGTTTGTGCAAGTGTTGTAACATACAGGTTAGCTACTCTAATCTTTTCTTACCATAGCTTTTAGGTTTTTTACAAACTGAAAGCCATAAAGAAGGTGATCTAGGACAGTGGTTCTCTGTGCTTTCAGACTCTGTACCACTTGCAGTAGTCTGATTAGTCATCTGTACCCCCACATTTCACTCAGAAATAATTTGCTTACAAACTCAGACATAAAAATTCAAAAGCATCACAACATTGAAAAATTGCTATCTCATTTACCATAGAATTATAAAATAGATCGATTGGAATATAAATATTGTACTTACATTTCAGTGTATAATGTATGGAACAGTATGAATAAGTCATTGTCTGTATGAATGTTTAGTTTGTACTAACATTGCAAATACTTTTTATGTAGCCTGTTGTAAAACTAGGCAAATGCTTAGAGGAGTTGAGGTACCTCCTGAAAGACTCTGTGTAGCCCCAGGAATATGCATATCCCTGGCTGAGAAGTACAGATCTAGGAAGTAAGTTTATACAAGAATGTTCATTAAGAGAGCTCATTTAAATCTATATAATATGTTAAAAATTCCAAGTCCTGAACACTATGATATGCTTTCTGAACTAAAAGTCGGTGGAACAATAGAATGGATTGAAGATTAACAGCGTCACCTCTGAAATTCATAGTTCCTGTTGGTTTATAGCAGCTTGAATATGTAATAAATACTAACCACCAAATAGCTCAACAGATGCAAGTCTGTATGAAAGAAGAAAAAAAACCCAGGTTTCCCAGCTATGTGTACACAGAGTATATGAGCCTGTAACCAAATAGTATCTTTTGATGCACACATTGTACTAAGGTGCCATTTATAAATGTTGAATAGACATTATAAGCGCATTACAAACACAAATACTAAGTGTTAGAGATGGTCCTAAACACATCACTAGATGTTATAGATGTTTTAGGCACAGGTTTATTACAGTAAATAATCATGCCTATTTTCATTATAAGCTGCAGTGCATACTCCATGGACTTAATGGACTTTTTAACCATCTATAAAACCTGTATTAAAACATGTTGATCATTTATTAGTGGCTTAAAATGGAACCCTGATATAAAAGGTGACTGTGTTATGTATGTGCATTAGGATTGCGATGTTTCTCCCCTCAGTCTACATTCCACCTTAACTGCAAATCTCTAGCTACAGAGGTAAAGGAACGAGGACACAGTGTTGTGTAGCCCACAGCTTGGCTTTGTGGGGACTAGCACGTAAGAAAGAGCTTGGTTTCATGAGGATAATTAATCAGCCAATCACAGTAGCTTGGGATGATTTCGGAGATGGTCCCATTTTGAGAAGAGGCATCTTGTCAGGTTCCCTCTCAGTAACTGGGAATTTTAGCCTTGTCTCCCACTGCCCCCAGTCTGCCACAGCCCAGAGAAGAGTCCAATAATAATGGGGAGAAGATAGAAGCAATGAAGTGAGCCTGATGCGTCAGGTTCCTCCCTATTCCAGGCTAGTTGTTCTCCTACTTTGGCCTATCACATGCTCCCTGCTCTTCCTCAGAAATCCTCTCTACATGCTCCATGAGATTAGGGCCCCTGACTCTGGGATCATGAGGGAATGGAACCGAGGGGGGAGGGGCAGGAGCTCCCTGCAACATGTTCTGTTTGGGACCTAGTGAATTTTCCATCAGCACTAACCCCCCACTTCAGCGTCCCCTTCCCACAAACAGTCAAGTACAGCAGCCAGAGTCATGCTACTGAGGTGCATGGGGGAAAAGGGGTGTGACATTGCAGAGAAGCATCCTTCCCCTGCAGCTCTCTGGGGTGTGGAGGCTGTGACTGTACCTCACCTCTCCTCTGAGTATTTCTGGGACATCCCATGGGATGAACTACACTGGAATCCTTGCCCCACTGTCTCCTTTTTGAGTCTTCTCTGCTGGCTGGTCTACAGAGGCACTTAGTATGGAGATATCCCTATCTCATAGAGCTGGAAGGGACCTTGTGAGTCCAGACCCCTGCCCTTACAGCAGGACCAAGTACCATCCCTGACAGATTTGCCCCAGCTTCTTAAATGGCCCCCTCAAGGATTGAACTCACAAGCCTGGGTGTAGCAGGCCAATGCTCAAACCACCGAGCTATCCCTCCCCCTCTGCTTAGGAACCCAAAGTGGAGAGAAACTGCTGCAAATAGCTAGTCAGCTCCCCCTGCTAAAAGGTAACAGCTTGTCCCTCACTCACCTGGGCAGGAGTCCTCAGCCTCACACACCACAGCTGCTAGGCAGAGTAAGGCGACGAGGGGTCGGTGGGCAGCTCTCCCCATGGCTGGTACTGGTCTCTGCAATGGCAGCTCCACTTGTCTTCTCCCCACCCTCTCCTCAGCTTTAGTATTTCAGAGTGAGGAGACTTTTCCAGGCAACACGAATTACAATATTAGGCTCCACCTCTGACCTCTCATCTCCTCGCCCAGTCTCCACATTCTTACGGTTCCGTCTGATGAGATCATTGCACAGGAAGTGTCGCCACTTTTGAAGGGTTGACACTTTGTAACACACAACCTCCTGTGGCCCTCTGGTTCCTTTGTCCTGGCTTCCCTTTGCAGAGTCGGGAGAGGGAGGGTTTGCCCTGAGCATAGGACGGCAGGCGCGGAGAGTTATTAGGAGCAAAACTCTGAGAACTGATCAACAACAGAGGAGCAAAATAGGTCTCAGCCCAGTCTCCTTCCTGCAGGAGGTCTTGGGTGAGGGGTTACCACCTTCAAATCTTTTGCCCTTTAAAAAGCAGCAGCAATGTCCACGTGCTGAGCATTTGCATAATTTCAGTGACACGCGCGCTCTCGTTCTCTGTCCCGTACTCTGCTCGGTTCAGGTCCTAACATCAGGCCACCACCCTGGTCTGCGAGCACGATCCAGGGAGGCATTAACCCTCGTGATGTTCCCATTCTTCCCACTGGACAGTCCATTTGCTTTATGACTGGAGCCCAAGACCACTGAAATCAGCAGAGACCCCATAGGAAGATGAGGGCCTGAAACGTAAGCCCACAAAAAGCCTTCTTCCACTAACTCAACTGCTGCCGACTCCAGTCCTCCATCTTCTCAAACCGACTGCCGGGCAGAGAGCTTCAGAACAGGGCAGTTGATACCTTTTCCTCCACACCAGTCCCACCTTACTCCAGAAGACCAGTGCACTGGCTCTGCCATATGCTCAGCCTTCATTGGTCCAAGATCAGGTGTTCTGGGGGTTCTCTGGAACCCAGGTCTCTCCTGTAGCAAGGTGCTGTGACAGCCACCCATTCGCTGCTCTTACGTTACCTGGCTCTGCTCCCTCAGGGAGGGTCTCAGTCATGGCATTGGCATGGATTGAATTTTCAGGGATGTTTGTTTTATTGTTAAGAGCCATAAGAGTATCATGGCACTAAGAGCACTTGTTCCTTTCTTTCTGCTTCATGCTAAAAGACACAAATAGATTTAGCAGGACAGAAAGGGAGGGAGGAACAGAGCGACTCATATAAATATTAATCTGCCTGGTTTACAAGAGGAAGCCTCACTTCCCAAGGGCTGGAGATAGCGTCTGAATGGACGGGGCGTCTCTGAAATGTGATCGCAGTATTTATCCCCAGGGCGAGACAGAACAATGAAACATTGTGGAACTCAGCGTGGAGGGGAGGGGGAAAGAAGGGCAGCAGCAAACAGCGTCTTAAAGTTCCAGGAGTTTTACAAATGTTCTTTGCAGTGTTGTTGCAGCTGAATTGGTCCCAGAATCTGAGAGAAATGTGGCATGTGAGGGAATATCTTTTATTAACCTGTTAGTGAAAGGAAGACACTTCTGAGCTCTCCTTGTTCCTTGGCCTTGTTGACACTAGCACAGGTTGCTCATTAAGACAATTCTTTACTAAAGTTAGAGTTAAACTGGCATGTAGCCCCTCCCCTCCAAAAAGACAATGGAAAGTTCCTACCTCAGTTTTCACCTCCCCCCACACTACACCTGTGGGATTGAAACCGGCATGAGCTGCCCCAGAAATGTCTGAGCTGCTTTGACGTAATGCGCATTCACAAACACTATTGTGTGTGTGTGTGTGGGGGGGGGATATTCAAAAGTGTCTGATTGATGGAGGAGTCTAAAGCCCATTTTGAAAAGTGAATATCAATGAGCTTTAGGCTCCCAAATCCTTTTGACAATCGGGCCTAAGATCCTATGTCGTTTAGCACTTGAAAAAAATGTCATCCAAAAGGAATGTCTACGCTGCAGTAAAAAACCTGCAGCGTGGTTGCGGCTGGCCCAGATCTGGCTTGGACTCAGAGCTTATGCTATGGGCTAAAAGCTGCACTATAAACATTCAGGCCTGGTCTACACTGGGGGAGAAAATTGACTTAAGATACACAACTCCAGCTACGCGAAGAGCGTAGACATACCTTAAGTCGAATTTCTGCAGCAACCCCACTATAGGAAGTTAATGGGAGAGTTTCTACCATCAACTCCCCTTACTTTTCACAACTCTGTGGAGTACCAAGGTTTGTTGACACCATCAGCGGTTGATTTAGCAGGTCCTTACTATACCCACTAAATCAAACTCCGGAAGATCAATCTCCAGAGCGTTAATCTCCGGGTAAGTACAGAAAAGGCTCAGGCCTACACTGGAGGCTGGGCTCTGAAACTCTGAAGAGGAGAGCGCCTCAGAGCCCGCACTGCAGTCTGAATGCAACATCGACACTGCCATTTTTAGCCCTGCAGCCTGAGCCCAGATGACTCGGTCTCTAAGACTTGGGCTACGTCTAGACCGGCATGATTTTCCGTTAAAAGCATTTTCGGAACAGAGCGTCTAGATTGGCATGGACACTTTTCTGCAAAAGCTCTTTTTGCGGAAAAGCGTCCGTGCCAATCTAGACGCGTTTTTCCGCAAAACAGCCCTGATGGCCATTTTCGCGATCGGGGCTTTTTTGCGGAAAACAACTCTGAGCTGTCTACACTGGCCCTTTTGCGCAAAAGGACTTTTGCCTGAACGGGAGCAGCATAGTATTTCCGCAAGAAGCACTGATTTCTTACAGTAGGAAGTCAGTGCTTTTGCGGAAATTCAAGCAGCCAGTGTAGACAGCTGGCAAGTTTTTCCAGAAAAGCGGCTGATTTTCCAGAAAAACTGGCCAGTCTAGAAACAGCCTTGGTGTTATGGGCTTTTTACTGCAGTGTAGATATACCCTGAGTGACTTAGAAGCACAAATGCCATTAACTTTTGGAACTTGTGTTCCTAAGTCACTCAAGGCCAGATTGCTAAAGGTATTTAGGTACCAACATACCTGTAAGAGTCTGGCCAAGTCATGTTTTGAAAAAAAATCACACTCTAAACTATGTAGTTGAAAGATTTAATTTAATTTAATCTTTCTGTTTCTTTAAAAGCACCTCCCTCAATAGCACTGGCCTCTCATACAGCAGTTTAAAAGTACCCAGGGCCTTACCTAGGGTAGCTGCTCTCAGCCTTTTCAGACTATTGGGGGTCCCTTTCCAGAGACTGATATGATTTGATAGCCCCAAGTTTCACCTCATTTAAAAATGACTTGCTCACTGTCACCACCACACTCTTATGGAACAATTGCCAACTTTCTCACTTTTACCATATACTTATACAATTTGTTTTATAAATATATTGTACTTACATTTCTGTGCACTGTATACAGAGCAGTATAAGCAAATCCTTGTTTGTACAACATTTTAGTTTGCACTGACTTTGCTAGTGCTTTTTGGGTAGCCTGTTGTGAAACTGGGCAAACCTCTAGTAGAGTTGAGGCACCTGCTGGAAAATCGCTGAGTACCCCTCATGTTGAACCACTGAACTAGGGAACCACCATGTCTTCCTAGGATTGTTGTTGCTGTAGGAAGGATTAGTACCAGGGATGATAGCAAAGCAGCAGAGACAATGACTGGCTAGGAAGGGGACATTCCCCAGAAAGTACCATGTTCCAGGAATGCTGGAATAGCACACGCTACTACCAGTGCTCAGGTGTCAAAGCAGCCCTCCAAAAGGCTGCTGGAATACAAATTAACTATGTCACTTGGATCCTGGTCTAATGGATTGGTCGTTGGACTAGAAATCAGACAATCTGGCTTCTATCCCTGGCTCTGCTACTGACCAGATGTATGATCTTGGGTAAGCCACGTCACTTTTTGTGCCTCGGTTTACCCTCCTACCCTTTGTCTCTCTTGCAAGAGCTGTGGGCTGAGCTGACTGTCTGTGTTTTCACAGTACTAGCAAAGTGAGGTCCTTGTAGTGATTAGAATCTCAGGTTGCTACACCAATACACATAATACCAACAAAGCCAACAAAGAATAAGATCCCTCATCTTGACGATTCCTACTAACAAGGAAGAACGAGGTTGGCAGGAAGACAAACATGGATATTTTCTTTGTTAAAACTAAGATGCTGAAACAATCAGATAATTACTACTCGGATTGAAAAGCTATCTTCATAAGTGGAACCTGAAAGTGAATCGACAATTGCATCACAGTTGAATGTTAAGGATATTCAGTTCCCAATCACTGGGCAAAAGATCTGTTCTTCTGGGACAGCACCTTTTGCAATAAATTTTTCTCAGTCTGATCATATTTTCCTTCTGCCCTTCTAGAATCGACAAGACTGTCCTGGCTCGGTTGTGCTGACAAACGTTGTATTCGTGTGTCACGTCTCTTTGCTTTGAGGCATGCTCAGAAAGCCATTTTTCCTGTAAAAGCTACTGATTCTGCTGGGGCAGACATTCAAAAGAGCACAAGACCGGATCTCCAATTGATTCAGCTCTCAGCCATCAAGATGCGAATCTAGCATCACTGACTTCCAGGGAGATACCCCAGAGTACCTCTAGGAGTGACTGAAAACTGGATAAAAAAACAAATAATTTGGTAGCACTTTATAGACTAACGAAACATGTAGATGGTATCATGAGCTTTCGTGGGCACAGCCCACTTCTTCAGATGGCCGGAGTTTTGAGTTTAAGATGTGCAGACCCAAAATAAATAGGAGAGAAGGGGGGAGGGAGGAAAACAAAAGGAGGGAGTGGGAGACAGGGAGCAGAGGGTATAGAAAATTCAGGAAGGTAGAGGGAATCGGTAAGTATCTCTTTTTCACTGGGATCTGCCTTTTCAGCATTACCAAAACCAGCCTACCAGCATGTCCCCAGCATTCAGGGTAGTTACAAGGCACTTTCTATGGCATTAAAGGCTTACAGTCTGTTTGGCTTGGTGCAAAGGGCCAGCTGGCTGAACTCTGGCCTGAAATTTGACAGCCCTATCTGGCTGTTTGCCTGTGGGAGAAGGGGTTGGATGAAAAACAAACAAACATGAAAGAGCGTTTTCTGACACCTGTGCAACAGCTCTGCCCCGTCTCTCATTCCACAGGTGCAGGAAGGGCTGTAGCTTGCCAGCTACTGCAACCCCGCACTTCCTGCAGAACAAGGTCCGTGATCTCTATTTACAGCCTCGCAGCAGCCCACTAAGTCTCCGGAACCCTTTGTCTCTTCAGGCCAGACACTCCTTTGTGTGCGTTCCTTCCCCCTGGCCTGTAACTGCCCTCTGCTGAGAGCTGACAACCCCGGCGACCGTCATTCTCCTTCCAAGATGCCATCCTGCCCGTCGTCCTTGGCCATCACACGGTATGCGATGCGGGTGAAAGAGCCCGTGAGCAGCAGGACAAAGAGGATGAAGAGCAAGGGCCAGACCCCATATTCAATCCCTTTCAGGGAACTCGGCTTCTCCTCTGGGATGGCGTTGGTCAGGTTCAGCATGTACCCAAGCGTCCAGCCAGCTGATGTGTTACCAACCTAGTGAAACAAAACAGATGGAGAGTGGTCCGTGGCAGGGGGCTAGAGACAGGTGAAGCCCAGAGCTGGAGGCTCAGACAGATATTGCAACACCCAGACCAAGTTTCTTTGGTCTCAACATTGGTTAGAAGGCTGGAAAGACCAGGTTCCCAAAAGCTTACAGACCCAGTCCTGGCCAAAGGCAGGAAGGGCTCCTGTGTCCCCCCGAGAGGACTCAGAACCCACATAGTTGGGCTGAGACTCAGTAACAGATCCCACTAGCTCTCCAGATGTGAACACTCCCAAACTCAGCAAGGCAATCAAAAACCAGAATCGGGTCGGGATTTATTTTTGGCTCAGGTCCTTCTCCGCTCAGAAGACCACGCAGATGTCCTTTTGCCCTTAGTTTTCAATGATGTCCAGACCACCCTCGCTGATCTGCCCCCAGGCATGGTGCCCTGTGCTGTCTACTAGAGGACTAGTTGCTCCATGTCAGGATTGGAATTTCATCCCATTCATTCGCGAGGTCTGTCAAGGTTCCCAGCAGTGACGCATAGAGAGTGTCACCTTTCCGTGGCCTAGCTGACAGGCTCGCCTGTCACACTCGTGACTTTATTCGATAACAATATAGCACCGGGGCACGCTGCGTTGCTCGGGCACCGAATGTTCGGACTCAGTTCTTATTTTATCCAAACCTTTTCCCCATTGACTTTGCCTGGAAGGAACTGCTGCCAGCCAGAAATAGCAGCATCCATGTACAATATCATAAAAATGACCATGGGAGAGGTGTTACCTGCCAGCTAGAACTGATAAGGTACAGAATGGAGAACAGCACTTCCAAAGCAAGAACGGCACCGAAAGCAGGAAAGCACGTCCTTGTAGGAAGTCTCTCCTCTGGATGCCAGTGAACCCAGGCCTGCTCACACCCAGCTCAGGAATCATCACACCATTTTTAGTAATAACTCCTCTGTTGATATCCAAACTACTGACACTGCCTCACTGCACTGCGAGCTCCCTCAAGGCACAGCACCCATAGCCAGGAATGATGGGTCTCTGCTCTCAACAAAACAACTTTAGAATGCTCCCTCGAACCATCTCTTTACCCAGACACAAATCCAGTGTCCCCCTAGAGCCATTGCTGTGTCCCTACAAAACCCCCTCTTCCGCTCAAGCCAAGTGCTTGGATGCCTGGATCTAAACTCTGCATCAGTTCCGCGGGGACTCCTTCTGACCGTGCTGGGGCTCTGCTCCGCCAGTCTCCAGCCCTCTGGACCCCCCAGCTACCATCACACCTGGGATCCCTAGTCAGTTCAAGCTTCATGGAGTGGTGAGATTTCTCTCCTCCCCCCTCCAAGGTATGGCCTCCTGACCCTGCCTTGTATGATCAGTTGTGGGCTGCTGGCTCTGACCTTGGCAATCAGATTTAAGTTAGATTTGATACTGTGAAGGTTTGGTTTGTTTGGCTCCCCTTGTAGGTGACTGCCTAGAAATAAATCTCTCTCACTGTCAGTCTGGCTGCTTTTCTCTCTTCTCCGCTTTCCTCTGCCCCTGCCCATTTGGGGGTGTTGTTCTGGCTTCTCCATTCACTCAACAACGCGCCGTGTCGCCGTGCTAAAGATCCCAGTCGCGCCCCAAAGTCCTGTGGGGTTTTGCTCATCAAGTGGGTTACGAGCAGAACGGCTGTGCAGTGAAAGTGGGGCTAAGGGGGTGCGGAATCTGGGGGCACGAGGGTGGCAGCTTAAAGTGCTGTTTAACCCGCCCACTGAGTCCATGGGCACAGGAGGGGCACCGCTTGGCACCGCTGTGCCAGCAGCCTACTGAGTCCAGGGACATAGGAGGGGTCAGCGTGGGCGAGCCCATTAACCAGGCCTCTCAGACGTGCTCCGGGAGCGGGTGTGGGGGTCTGTGTGTTCGTCTGGGAGGAGCCCTGCCCTGCAGTTCCTCCAGGAGAGCTCCATTGGGAGGGAACGGGCAGCAGGGAGAAGTAAAACTCCCTATGAGAACACGAGCAGCACGCTGATAGAACGATCAACCTCCTCCTCCCCCATCAGAGTAACCCTACTAACAAAGGAGCGTGCCCCAGAGTAATGGGCCCAGGCGGTAACAGAGGACACATCCCTCCCGAACACTTTGTGAGCCACCTCCCCATCACACCGACCTCCTGGAATGTCGTCTGGCCAGAGCTGTCCCAGTCAAACAGGAACCCCCTGGCACGGAGATGGTAGAGGAATGTGGATACGGAGCAGTGATCAGCAAGTCTGTCTGGGCTCGCCTGGGACATCTTGCTCAGCTGACCAGCATTTGCAAAAGAAGTTAGACAAGTCAGTATTCACTAACTGCATTTCTGAATCCTTCCAATGTGCTAAAATCCAGCTTTCAAGTGCCTTGGTTATGTCTGTGGAGTGAATGCATCCTTCAGCCTGCTAAGCTGGAGGCTTTTGTTCCAGCGGCAGGGAAGGGAGAGACCCTCCTTCATCCAAAATACTGCATTTCATTTGTGTTTGGCTTTTCAAAGAAAACTATCTTTTGAATTCTTCCTGGAAAGATCCCCATGGGCCCCCTCTCTGTGGAAGGACCTCATGCCTTAATTGGTTAGGCCTCAACTGGAGTATTGTGTCCAGTTCTGGGCACCGCATGTCAAGAAAGATCTGGAGAAACTGGAGAGGATCCAGAGAAGAGCAACGAGAATGATGAAAGGTCTAGAGAACATGAGCTATGAGGGAAGGCTGAAGGAATTGGGCTTGTTTAGTTTAGTAAAGAGAAGATTGAGGGGGGACATGATAGCCGTTTTCAGGTATCTAAAAGGGTGTCATAAGGAGGAGGGAGAAAACTTGTTCATCTTAGCCTCTGGGGATAGGACAGGAAGCAATGGGCTTAAACTGCAGCAAGGGAGGTTTAGGTTGGACATTAGGAAAAAGTTCCTGTCAGGGTGGTCAAACACTGGAATAAATTGCCCAGGGAGGTTGTGGAATCTCCATCTCTGGAGATATTTAAGAGCAGGTTAGATAAATGTCTCTTAGGGATGGTCTAAACAGTATTTGGTCCTGCCAGGAGAGCAGGGGACTGCACTTGATGACCTCTCGAGGTCCCTTCCAGTCCTAGTGTTCTATGATTCTATGCCATGGGGCCCTCCACGTGGGAGAGCCAGAGTAGGAGAATAATTTTGTTTGAAAGAAGGAGAGTGGCAGGAGACATCACACAAGGAAGTAAGATGCAGGAGGGCCAGTCCGCATCCCCTTCTTACTCCTTAATCCAGAGGAAGGAGCACGAGATTAAACAGGGAGAAGGATCTGGGCTCCCTAGGGTGATCTAATTCTTTGGAATAACACTGTACAGATTATGTGAAAAACTTAAAAAACAACGAACAGTCTGGTAGCACTTTAAAGACTAACAAAGCATGTAGATGGGAGCATGCGCTTTCGTGGGCACAGATACTTTTAACTCACTTTGCCCAGGCCACTATGGCAAGGCAGTACAATGTGGCTCCCGAAGGGGGTGGGAAGAGTCTGGGTTTGGAGCCGTTTTGCATTTCACCGATCCCATTTCTTGAAAGAGGCAAGGCTTTGGAGAGGGGCCGGATCTTATCCCAGCTCCCAAGAGAATGCCAGGCTTCCCTTCGGCGGGGTCGCCCGCTCGCAGTGCTCTGGAGGAGAACCAAGGCCTGAATGGGGTTGTGCCTGAAAGCTTTGCCTGCCTCACTCAAGTTACCCCCAGGGTGTAAGCGGGCTAGCTCCCAGTCACCTCTTCCAGAGACATGCCACAGAGCGAGTCGACTGCCTGGCCCAGGTCAGGCGCGGGCTTCATCTTCTTCACGAGGTCGAGAGCCTCAGAAATGTATGGCATCTTCCCAGGATGCTCTCCCTACACATGTGGGTTTGTCTCCAAGAGGCGCCATTTAAGGAGGGCTAGGGGGGCTGCAGCCCCATTTATCTACATTTCCTATTGCAGCAGGGCACTGCCTCCCCTCTAGCAATGGAGGCGGCTTGCTTTGTTTACTCCTCTCCCCCCTCCTCCCCAGTGACAGCACAGCAGGCTCATCAAGCACAACCAAAGGCCCAGCCCTTGCAAACGGCTGCTTGGCTCCTGGCTGCAGTATCATGGGATACCGGCTCCATCTTGGCAAGAACTGAACAGCAGCAGCCAACGCAGAGCACCGAGGAGCAGGCAGCCCCCTTGGCTCGCTCTGCTCCCCTCCCCTCCCCAGCCAGCCAAGAGTGACCCAGGCTGCTCTTCCTCGCCAGGCTCCCCCCACACACACACACCCCAGCTCAGCCACGCTGACTGCCAAGGCTGTTCTACCCCCCCCCCGCGGCCGGCCCGGCTTCCCCCCCCCCCCCA